AAACAATACCCCTTGTAGAGATACAGATTATTCAAGAGTCATTGAAATCATTAATGCTGTGATCATCGATCTGTCGGTTATTTGTGTGACGTTAACAGTGATTTCTGGAATTTAAAAAATGAGATTGGTATTAAACTGATCTTGATATTTTGCTTCCAAGTTTAGAATAAATTATAGGGGCGGTCGGGTAGCCTAGTGGTTAAAGCGTTCGCTCGTCACGCTGAAGACCCAGGTTCGATTCCCGACACGGGTACAATGTGTGAAGCCCATTTCTGGTGTCCCCCGCCGTGATATTGCTGGAATATTGCTAAAGCAGCGTAAAACCATACTCACTCACTAGAATAAATTATACAGGTTACCAAATTTTTCGATCCTTGTGAATGTGTGGGTGAGTGAGTGAGTTGGATTGTACACCACTTTCAGCAATATTCAAGCAACATCATGGCAGGGGGACACCAGAAATGGGCTTCAAACATTGTATCCATGTGGAGAATCAAACCTGGGCCTTCAGCATGACAATCAAACGCTCTAACCACTAGGCTATCCCACTGCCCAGAAGATTATATGATGTGTTCACTCTATGGCCGATTGATGTTCAGAATAACTGGTGTCAGAAAGATGACCAGCTCTCAAACAGAACTAAGACCGCCTCTTCGGTCTAGTTGTAGAGCGTCCGCCCGGAGAGCGGAAGGTCCGGGGTTCGATCCCCGGCCGCGTCATACCAAAAGACGTTAAAAGATGGTACTTGTTGTTACCCTGTCTGGTGCTCGGCATTAAGTGGCTAAAACAAGGACTTGTCGGCTCGGAGTCAGTATACTGTATCTGAGTGGGGTATTCATGTTAAACTGCGGCATGGTATCTCAGTGTGCTAGCACTGTAAATCGGCATCAGTCCGGACTAGTACAAGCAGCCACTAACACGTGCATGTAACTTGCTATATAAGTGATATAATGTTGAACATAATGTTAAACCCCCTCATCTCACCTCACCTCACCTCACCTCACATTCACATTCACCTCACCTCACCTCACCTCACCTCACATTCACCTCAACTCACCTCACCTCACATTCACATTCACCTCATCTCACCTCACCTCACCTCACATTCACCTCAACTCACCTCACCTCACCTCACATTCACATTCACCTCATCTCACCTCACCTCACCTCACATTCACCTCAACTCACCTCACCTCACCTCACCTCACCTCACCTCAGTATTTGGAAGCAGGGCAACTCAACCTGATTTATTGCTTTATTGTTATGATCGTCATAATCATGTACTGTGAAATATACAAATTTACGAGGCTACATCCCATTCTGAGCAAGTTTATGTGACAGTCAGTGATAAAGGGTTTATGTCCTACAGACACACATCGAGGTATGGTAATTTATTTCAGCATTATATCCTGGAATATACAATAGCCCTGAGGATCATAGGCCCTCAATAAGTCATTCCTCCAATCACCAGCTAGGGGTCACCTCAAGAGTTTTACAGTCAACTAATTACAAATGGAGTTGATTACCCATGTGCATATTAGGGCTGTAACGATTCTCCGATGACTACGATATCATCGACACTTCGGTACACACAATACTTGAATCGTCAGTTTGTGAGACCACGATAGGCTATGAATAGAACAGGAGCTAATAGAGTTACCTCCCTTAATAGCAGAAGTAACATAGCGCCACGTTTAAGCATGGCAGAACGCAAGGACATGGTAGCTGAGGACGCGCCAGCTAACTGTTACAGTTAATAACCATCCATTCATTTAAAACTGTTTTATTCTTGTGGTTTTCGCAGTTAAAGTTTTTGAGATAACAATAAATAAATGTACGATCGAAGAGCTTCTTGAGCTGTATTTCAGTGATTTCATCATTTCTTCCTTTTTAATGTGGTGTATCGTGATACCAGTAGTGTTGTCAGTTCATATCATGATACGAACCGTATCGCAAGATACCAGGCGATACTCAGCTCTAGTGCATATGCGAAAGTCTCATTTACTTGAACTTTACCTTAAAAACAAATGGACAATAGAGGATCCATTTTTGCAATCATCTTATTAAATCTATGTAGTACCTGTTGAGATGCCCCCTGAATGGTTAGTGTGTTGGTTGTGTGAAGTGATATAACATTTAGCCACCACACATGACTGATTGCCTAATCTGTCATTGAGGGACTGGTCACACTCCATCGGAGCCTGACAATTGGTGTTGTCCTGATAGGAACCTGTACGCCCTCCACAACCTCCCTAGCCACACTGTAGCAGGCTGGCCACTGGACTAACATACCACGGTAAACCACATACTTATGTGTAAACTTATGCACAGTTTTCTTCTTAAGGGTGCTGAATTTTAATCATAATGATCAAGAGGTGATTGTCACTGGTTTACTATTCAATACTGAGTCATGTTGTGAATGTTGTTTGTTTATGTCAATACCACTGCTGTTAACATGACAATGGCTAACAGCATAATACATGGGCTGAATTCTGGTTCATTGTTCCTGTGTCCTGAGCGTGTGTTTTCAAACAGCTGAATACGTTTGGGTCTAATGCTTCATTTATAGGACATTTGAGACGTAAATATTCTGCGAGGTCGTGTGAAGTCATGAGAACTTGTTTTGTACTTACCACCCTATGGCTGACACATGTAGATTCAGGACTTGGCTTACAGATGCTTGTAGTCCTATGTCTTGCGTTCTCTCATACACCATGTGCACTGTACTAATCTCTGTGTCCTACACCATGTAACTGTCCTATCGGTATGTACAGACACCCTATGGCTGACACATGTGGATTCAGGACTTGGCTTACAGATGCTTGTAGTCCTATGTCTTGCGTTCTCTCATACACCATGTGTGCTGTCCTAATCTCTGTGTCCTACACCATGTAACTGTCCTATCGTGTGTGTACGGACACCCTATGGCTGACACAAGTAGATTCAGGACTTGGCTTACAGATGCTTGTAGTCCTATGTCTTGCGTTCTCTCATACACCATGTGCACTGTCCTAATCTCTGTGTCCTACACCATGTAACTGTCCTATCGGTGTGTACGGACACCCTATGGCTGACACAAGTAGATTCAGGACTTGGCTTACAGATGCTTGTAGTCCTATGTCTTGTGTTCTCTCATAGACCATGTGTGCTGTCCTGAACTCTGTGTCCTACACCATGTAACTGTCCTATCGGTGTGTACGGACACCCTATGGCTGACACAAGTAGATTCAGGACTTGGCTTACAGATGCTTGTAGTCCTATGTCTTGCGTTCTCTCATACACCATGTGCACTGTCCTAATCTCTGTGTCCTACACCATGTAACTGTCCTATCGGTGTGTACGGACACCCTATGGCTGACACAAGTAGATTCAGGACTTGGCTTACAGATGCTTGTAGTCCTATGTCTTGTGTTCTCTCATAGACCATGTGTGCTGTCCTGAACTCTGTGTCCTACACCATGTAACTGTCCTATCGTGTGTGTACAAACATCCTATGGCTGACACATGTAGATTCAGGACTTGGCTTACAGATGCGTGTAGTCCTATGTCTTGCGTTCTCTCATAGACCATGTGTACTGTCCTAATCTCTGTGTCCTACTCCATGTAACTGTGCGTATTGAGTCCGTTTCTGTCGGTGTATGGTCCAATACTGTCAGTGCTCTGTCCAACATCATGTGTACATATCTGAGTTCATTGTTGTCCTGTGTTTCCTCATATTAATATAAACTCTATGATCCAAATACTGACTGCAAAGTGGCAGTAGACCCGTGAAAATCTGGGGAAGAATAGGTCTTCAGCAGCCCATGCTTGCCGTAAGAGGCGACTAACGAGATTGGGTGGTTAGGCTCGCTGACTTAGTTGATGCATGTCATTGTATCCCAGTTGTGTAGATTGATGCTCATGGTGTCAATCACTGGATTGTCTGGTCCAGACGCGATTATTTACAGACTGCTGTCAAGTAGCTATAGAAATATTGCTAAATGGGAGTTAAACAACAAACAAACAAACAAATCAAAGTGGAAGTAAACTTCAAATTGAGCGCCTCTACAACAGGAATGACATTTTCTTGTGGACCAATATTGATGCATCTCTTAACCCCAGACAACCATTGATACATCTCTTCACTTAAGACCATGATCGATGCATTTCTTCACTTTAGACCACGATAAATGCATTTCTTCACTTTAGACCACGATCGATGCATTTCTTCACTTGAGACCATGGTCGATGCATTTCCTCGCTTTAGACCACGATCGATGCATCGCTTCACTTGAGACCATGGTCGATGCATTTCTTCACTTGAGACCACAATTGATGCATTTCTTCGCTTTAGACCACGATCGATGCATTTCTTCGCTTTAGACCACGATCGATGCATTTCTTCGCTTTAGACCACGATCGATGCTTTTCTCCACTTTAGACCACGATCGATGCATCGCTTCACTTGAGACCACGATCGATGCATTTCTTCACTGTAGACCACGAGCGATGCATTTCTTCAGCAGATAGGTTGTGTGAATGACTTCAATATAACTTTCAGCTCCTCTAGTTATTTCCAGGCCTGGCAAATCCTGATGTAAAACTGACACCAATAACAAAATGGATCACACCCAACATGACAGTCAAAGATTCCTTGCCATGAACTTAATGTTAACAGTTGAGGGTGTTTGGGAAGCCTCAAGGACCCCAAAATCCCCTTCAATGTGAATGATGCATGTCCCTATCACCGGCCATTCCATGCTGGGTCACACTGTACCCAAACCAAACTGCAGAATTTCTGTCAATGTATGGAATCCTATGAACAAATAATGAAAAACTCGAGTTCCGTGGGTTGTGGGTTAAAGTGGTTAAAGTGCACGTTCATCCTGTGGTTCGATTCTTCACATAGGTACGTGTTAAGCCCACTGCTGGTGTACCCCTGCGAATAAAGCTGGAAAATTAATAAGAGCAGAGGAAAACCTAATTCTGTCACTCACGAGAGTTTCTTCTATCTGTTGCAGTGTATTCAAGTTCTGCTGGACAATGGATGTGACCGCAACATCACAGACAACAAGGGACTGACCGCTGCGGAGCTCGCTGACAAGTGCAACCAGCCCTACTGTGCCGCCCAGATACGGGGGGAAGTCACACTCCAGGTAAATACATGCTTCCACTCTCACCGTTAATTATCCCAGGTATCATCATATAACATATATTTCCATAAAGTGGAGGGATTGGCAAACAAGCAAATTTTGCTGATCTGAATGCCTCTCCCAAACATGATAGACATACCATAGTGACATGAGAAATAGCATACATTGTATAATTGACATTAAAGATAAGCATTGTTCTGTAAGTGTTTTAGTACCGTATTCGACGTAATAAGTGCCCACGGCGATATTTGCTAATATATTGGCTAGAGAACAATCCCAATTAGCAACCCTTCCGATTGTTCAATGTACACAAGACTTATTTATTCGTGTATAATACGTGTGTTATATGCATCCTTAATTATGGGAAATTAAATTCTGGAAAAATATATCTGTCGTGTATAAACATTTCAGGCTGTCAACTTATCCACGAAATTAACGATCTTTCAACTCTGTTGTTTTTCACCAAAATAATATTCTGTTTTTAATTTTGAGAGCGCCCTGGGCGCTTATTATGTCGAATATGGTACTTGATTTTCTTTCGTAACTACAGCTATGTTATTATTTACATCCAGCACAACACCATCGCAGTATCATATAGCAAAGCTAACATCTCAGACAAAATCTCTAAATCGGCAAGAAGATGGCTAAAACTATTCACTGATTTCAAAGTTTCAAGATTTGTTATGGTCGTTAAATGTGAATTACCATATAAAATTGAATTAAATTGTTGCCTTTTTCAAAATAATATCTATTTTACCTTAATGTAAAGTTTAAGGGACGCGCAAGAAAGAAATGAAGTGCATCTTCAGTGTGATAGCCACAACATCTCGTTGGATATAAATCTGGCAAATTTGTTGGTGTTTTGATCGCTACAGCCGGGCCTCAGACGGGAATTATGTCTCTTTTCTATTAGACCTGTGAAGATTCCGGGGTAGAATAGGTCTTCAGCAACCCATACTTGCAGTAAAAGGTGACTATGCTTACCGTAAAAGGCGACTATGCTTGTCGTAAAAGGCGACTAACAGGATCGGGTGGTCAGGCTAGCTGACTTGGTTGATACATGTCATCAATCCCAATTAGGTAGATCAATGCTCATGATGTCAATCACTGGATTGTCTGGTCCAGACTCGATTATTTTACAGACCGCCGTCATATAGCTGGAATATTGCTGAGTGCGGCGTTAAACAACAAACGAACGAACAAACAAACAAACAAACAAAACTTTTCTATTATGTCAACTGTGGACCCATTCCCCACCATGCCTTGTTGTGAGTTGGAATGACATTAGGCTAATCAACCAATTCCAAGTTCAACCTTCATTCTTGATTGATACGAGGTGTTCACTTGTACCCTCCTGCTGCACGCTGTGTGCAAAGCAACTGGAATGTCAGGAATACAACTTTTCCGGTTTATTTGGAACATGTTTGAGGCAGTGCTTGACTTCAGCCATGATTTTGACTGTAGATCTGTGACAAACTCATGTTCAGAAGAGGTGTTTTGATTGGTTGTTGATTCCAAGCTGATGAGTGATTGAGTTTGTGTGTGTTTGTTGTTTTACCCTGCACTCAGCAATATTCCAGCTACCTGATGGTGGTCTGTAAATACTCGTCTGGACCAGACAATCCAGCGATTGTTATCATCGATTGGGATCGATGACATGCATCAACCAAGTCAGCAAGCCTGACCACCCGATCCTGTTAGTCGCCTACGACAAGCATGAGTTGCTGAAGACCTATTCTAAACCAGATCTTCACGGGGGTTGGACAAGCATTGGTTGTTGAAGACCAATTCTACCCCCGATCTTCATGGGTCAAGAGAGTTTGTGAGTTGAGAGAAGGAGCTGATGAAGATGTGGAGGTGAATGGGACCAGGGTTATATCATAATGGATGGACATTGATACCCAGGATGATCAAGGATCATGATGACACTCTATCCTGTTGAATGGATGTTGATTGGTGTGAAGCCCTGTTTGTTCAGACGACTGACGGGATCGGGTTGTCAGACTCGCTGACTAAGTTAATGCATGTCTTAGCATCCCAATTACATAGATCGATATCATGAGGTCAGTCACTGGATTGTGTGGTCCTGAGACCCCTGGAATATTGCTGAATGCTGTCAAACAACAAACAAAAAGCCAAACAAAAAAAAGATTTATATATAATGAAGCAGTAACTGAAAAAAATTCTTACAAAATTTCCATCTCTCTCGCACACTCACACACACACACACACACACACACACACACACACACACACACACACACACACAGCCGGGACTAAAAAATATGTTCGTTATATCAGTCAGTTCGTTATAAGCGTGTTCGTTATAAACGTAGTTTACTGTACCCATCCAGCAACACACAATCCAGCCTTCCTTTCTTCCAGAAATAATTAAGTTGTAGCTATATACACTCAACAAATATTTTCCATTTCACCCGAGAATAAAGAAATAGTTAGTTACAGATTAGTTTGCCTTTAGGCCTGCTGTACTTGACAACGTAATCAGCTTAGGTGACATCTTATTGACGAAGTATAAACTTTAACATGGATACAACACCGCCAGACAGCCTTCTCTAAATAGTGTCACGTTTACCAAACAACAAATATTTTTAAATACAACGACAGTCCCAAACTGAATTCCCTGATAAATCCCAGAGGATTACAACAACAGATATATTTACATATCCACCTTCACCTACGTTCCATGGCCTGTCTATATTTACTTGTGTCAGCGGTAGTGGGCAGATTGTTATGATGAGGCTCTGTGATGTAACGGTTATGTTCAGCTGAGCTGAAGGCATACACCAGCTGGTCTATATTTACTTGTGTCAACTGCAGCTGGGCAGACTGACTGTATGATGAGCCTCAGTCTTATAACGGTTATGTTCCATGAAGCTGAAGATATCCACCAACTGGTCTATATTTAGTATTATCACCTATCACGGGCAGACTTTGTGTGAGGTCAGTGATGTAACGGCTGCGTGATCTCGAGGTACCCTCTACATCAGCCCTCCTCCTGCAGATAAGGGTTTGGTGCACAGATTGCTCTATTTATTTGCGACCCTGGCTTCTGAAGGTGAGTTGGTAGATTGTCCTTGATTAATATGTCATAACTTTAGGTTTGTTGGGTTCTTGCTGTTGAAGTTTGATTTGACAGATTAACTGTGTTAGAGATGTTAGACTTTGTGTCGATCAGGGACCACCAAACACTTGTTATCCCCCGCCCAACAAAGTTGGCGGGGGATATAGAAACGGGCTCCGTCCGTCTGTCGGTCCATCCGTCCGTCACGTTTCGTTTCCGGAGCATAACTCATAAACCGTTCAATATTTTTTCATCAAACTTTGCAGGTCTGTAGGGTACATGCTGAACTGGTGCCTTTTGCTATTAAGAAATTTTAGAAATTTTTATTTTTTTATGTTTCCATGGCAACAAGATGGACTTAGGTTCTGTTAGGGTAGGGTTCGTTTCCAGAGCATAACTCATACACCGTTCAATATTTTTTCATCAAACTTTGCAGGTTTGTCAGATACATGCTGAACTGGTGCCTTTTGCTATTCAGAAATTTTAGAAACTTTTATTTTTTTATGTTTCCATGGCAGCAAAATGGACTTCAAACTCCAAACTCTTCTTTTTTTTACAATTTCCATGACAAGTTCCACCTCGGTTGAAAAAGGTTAGGGTCTAGATTTAATTATGTCATAAATTCTGCAACAGGGGCGGCGGATATAGCCACGTTAGTGGCAAACTCTTATTTATCAATAACAGTGAACACTGGTTGTGTTATGGAGCTTGGAAAACCAGATTTACCATACAACTTAGATCAGGTACCATGTTTACTGTGAAAAACAGTTTTACTATACACTATAGAACGTTACTATGTGATGAACACTGGAATATTTCGTCATTGCATTACATGGAACACTTAGCTTATTTGGAGACGGAACACAAGATGTGTTTTGAACACTTCATTTATCATACACCAAGAAAAAACAAGTTATACCAGCTCAGAAACATGCTATCGTCCTTTAGAAGCTTAGAGAAAAACGTGCTGGTCAAAACAGGTGTGACAGTTGAAGAGTCCAGAACGAGTGGTCTTCCATGTATGTCCAGACATGTATGTCCAGCCTGTATGGTCACCTGGCTGGTCTGATCAAGTCACTTCTGGACCGCCTCCGTGGTCTAGTGGGACCACCTCTGTGGTCTAGTGGGACCGCCTCCATGGTCTTGTGGGGCCACCTCCGTGGTCTAGTGGGATGGCCTCCTTGGTCTAGTGGTAGAGCGTCTGCCAGGGAGCGGAAGTTCCAGGGTTTGATCCCCAGCCATGTCACACCAAAAGATGTTAAAAGATGGTACTTGTTGTTACCCTGTCTGGTGTTCGGCATTAAGGGGCTAAAACAAGGACTGGTCGGCTCAGAGTCAGTATACTGTGTCTGAGTGGGGTATTCATGTTAAACTGCGTCATGATTTCTCAGTGGACTAGCACTATAAATCGGCATCAGTCCGGACTAGTACAAGCAACCCCTAACACACACATGCATGCATGTCGCTAATTGAGTGCAATAATCTTTTACGCCACGTTAAACCCCATTTCACCTCACCCCACCTCAGCATTCACTTCTTCCAAGTCACTACATCCACATGAATGAGCGTGGCTAGTTGTGTTTGCCTTGTACTGACATGAGAGTTGCTGATGCTGGTTATAATGGACTGATGTTGGTTATAATGGACTGATGTTGGTTATAATGGACTGATGTTGGTTATAATGGACTGATGTTGGCCAAATGGACTAATGTTGGTTATAATGGACTGATACAGGTTATAATGGACTGATGTTGGTTATAATGGACTGATGTTGGTTATAATGGACTGATGCTGGTTATAATGAACTGATGTTGGTTATAATGGACTGATGTTGGTTATAATGGACTGATGCTGGTTATAATGAACTGATGTTGGTTATAATGGACTGATGCTGGTTATAATGGACTGATATTGGTTATAATGGACTCATGTTGGTTATAATGGACTGATGTTGGTTATAATGGACTGATGTTGGTTATAATGGACTGATGCTGGTTATTATGGACTGATGCTGGTCATAATGGACTGATGCTGGTCATAATGGACTGATGCTGGTCATAATGGACTGATGCAGGTTATAATGGACTGATATTGGTTATAATGGACTCATGTTGGTTATAATGGACTGATGCTGGTTATAATGGACTGATGTTGGTTATAATGGACTGATGCTGATCATAATGGACTGATGCTGGTCATAATGGACTGATGCTGGTCATAATGGACTGATGCTGGTTATAATGGACTGATGATGATTAAATGGACTGATGCTGGTTATAATGGACTGATATGACTGAGGCTGGTTCTGGTGCCACCTAGTGGTGATATCAGTTGTCATGTGAGTCGTGGGCTGACTCCGACAGATATAGAGTAGTACTGATAACACACTGGTTTACATACTCCCTCATCTATAACAGTTACAATCATTTCAAGTCGACAGCCATGATGTCATGTTTGATGTGATGCCTCTTATTCTCACAAAAAATATATCAAACTGAATACATCTTTGGAAAGCAGAACAAGTGTGTCGTAAGAGGTGACTCTATGGATTGGGTGGTCAGACTCGGTGACTTGGTTGTTTGTGGATCACCCCAATTCACATTGCATATCCAAATCGTTGCTCGTAGTATCAATCACTAGATTGTCTGGCCTAGATTAAATTATTTACAGGCCACCCTGAAAAATCTGGAATATTGATAAGTGTGGCAAAACAAACAAACAAGCACATTAAATTCTGTAACATCCAGAAACTCAAATTTGAGAAAATAAGGTAAACACTACGGTTAACAGACATTACAATGTCATCCTACCGGGTACCCATTCACTACTGGATGAACAGAATACTCTACTTTTAATAGCCCCACATTCATACTAATATCTACTGAAAGTGTTGCCGAGAGACACGGTTGGACGAGTAGACTTGAGTGGTTTTGGCAGACTGGTGCCCTAAACCCATCAATGACAACAAGAGTAACCTGCCCCTGTCTGTTGCAGCCCCAATCAGCCCAGCCGCCGCCTGCTGTCCCCAGCACCAGTAACGGGGCCCCAGAAAGACGCCCTCAGCCCAGCGGTTTCCAAGGATACCGACCAACCAGACCTGTGTCAGGTAACCATCTTGTCTTCCATGTTAATAGTGGTTTTATAAAACATTACGTGCTGGTTAGTAACTGTGATGTAATTCATAGCAACAGAGAGTCACTTTTAGGTAAAATAAAGCATTTATAAAGATGAAACATTTGCAAAAATTTGTAAAAACAAATTGTTGTGAGCAAGAGACTCATATCTTTCTTAAGGAACATTTCTCCTGAAATATCTGTAACTTTGAATTTTTAAGGATTGAAATGTTCAATGGGTGTGTGATACTAGATTTTATTACCCACAGGGTTAGAACTAACCGAGTTCATAAAAATCGTATATGCACAAGTGTGAATATCACTTCTCCCGCACCAGTGTATTGTCTCAGTCATCTGAATTGCATTGTTGACATCATTCAAATCTTTTTGTGACTTAATGTCAGAATGACGTCATGGCTGAAGATTGTTGACGTCATTCGACAAATTGTCATTTTCTTGGACAGCGGTGGAGATCAGTTCATTTTTCTAAAGGGTACCTCAAAGGATTAAGAAATAATGGGTAATAAAGAAATTACTAGACTCATATTTGTGTCATACTGATTTTGTGAATCTTGTGTAAGATTTCATATATTACCATCGCACTTGCTCGGGAAATACAAGAATTCTGACACTCGTTTTGTAAAATCAGTATGACATACATGCTCGTATAATCATCACTATGTGTAAAACTTTAAATACAAATTTGATGATATGTGTCGTACATTGTGGGGGGCACGGGTGGCCCAGTCGTCTAAGGCGCCGCGATTCGCTGTGCAGAGTTGCGTCCCTTGGTCGCCAGAAACCTATGATTGTGGGTTCGAATCCCAGTCCACCCCGATTATGTTTCTAGGTTTGTCAGCACCATACCCGTGCTCGTGGGTTTCACCGAAGTGGTGAACGTCTGAGACCTGCATCACTTCGGGCTTTCCTCCCACATTAAGCTGACATGCCGCGATATAACTGAAATACTGTTAAAAGCGGCGTTAAACTCACTCACTCACTCACTCTTACTAGAGTAGTAGTCTTGCAATATCATCATCTGGAATAACGAAGATGGTGACAGTTATGTCCATGTGTGTATTTCTGGACATTTTGACAATTTCCGTACCAGTCCTCCCTAGTTTTAGCTGTACTGTTATTTTTGGTTGTTGTTTTTATGTATTGTATGTTGTGTTTGCTTTAGTTCCTGTGGTAGAGGATTTTTGCATGAGAACAACCAAGTATACCCCCTGCCATGTACTACATTCCTTACAACAGCTCCCATTAATCAGACCCGAATTTTCCGAGATCAGTAATTCTTTTAAAAAATATTTCCAAGGTCTTCAAAATTAACAGGAACTATTAAGTCACTCTTAAGGATGTCTGCTGGTATGAGTTTATAATCAACTCGAAATGTACTCAACTTGTATGAAAGTATAGCCACTTTGATCTGTATCAAAAGCCAGCCCAAGTAATGGCCACGCTCAGTTAGGATCTTACTTCGCCCCAATCTGCCCACAATTAGACTAACGTGCTGGGGAATTGTAAGTTTGGTCAGGGATGTGTAGCTGTTTGTGTTGTGTATTACAGTTGCCTCGTCTTGCTCCGACTTCGGTTATTACACGAGTCGAGAAGCTGCCCGCGGGGGCAGACAGATCACTGGTGGGTGGTTGAAACGTGTGCCGTTTTCCTCTAAACTATTTCTGAAATTTCTTGCCTTGCTTTAACAAATACTTTTCCTCTAAAATCTGTAGACACAGGGCTTAGGAAGCGCTGACTGCTTGTTGCTTCATTACACTAGGACCTGCAGGTCATAGGGACAGGCTCTCTGTATACAACAAGGTGTCAGGTGTAACCACAGATTACAGAATTCCTTCAACTTCTTAAAATAACACACTCAAAAACACATAACCATGATAACTGCATTCATTGTTGCTGGTATTCATAAAAAATAAGAAAGTTTTTATTTGAAGATTTTTTTAGGCCAGATGTCGTGTCAAAATACAAAAGAAAAATAACAAAAAAATAAAATGTCAGAGTTGAGTCAACTTAAGTTAAATCTTGAAATAATGTCAGTGTTCGAAATACCTGCCTGCCCGACCGTCCGAGACGGGTTGATTTCAACTCGGGCTGCCAGATTTTCAAATCCCCCTCCCCGACGGTCGGGTTATATTTCATATGTGAAAATATTCTAAATATTCCTGATGATAAGCATTAATTCACATGTAAAGATGAATGATAAAATGTAACCCAAAAGAAACCCCGTTAGCTTATCCTGAGAAACATATGATTCTAGTGGGCAGGCAGGTTTTGGTCAGGGCTGGCAAGTATTTCAGCTAGCCAGTCCTGTGGTCTGGCTGAAAGTTTTGGGAGTTTCATACCCTGATAATGTTTTGACAAAAATACAAACAGAAGGATATTTAAGAGGGCATATTTCAATCAAACACTAGCTATTTTAAATGAATGTATTTTTTTCTTTGCATGATTGAGATTAGGTTAATAAAAGAGATAAATGTTGGGGTCTAAAAAATAGATTGAAATGAACTATCTATAATGCAACAATACCAGTATCCTATAGGTTGTAGTAAGTGCTCCACTCCGATAAGTGCCCCTGACCAACTTTTAGACAGATCAGTAAGTAATTTCCACTGCCCCTATCTCTGAACATAGATTTAACTTGTGTATGGTTTTAATAAGCATCCCCTTAAGCAAGTTTCTAAGCCCCTCAGGTATATATATGTATACAATATCAGCTAGGTCTTTCTGCACTTATTACGGTGAATACGGTATATATGTATACAATATCAGGTCTTTCTGCACTTATTACGGTGAATCGGTATATATGTATACAATATCAGCTAGGTCTTTCTGCACTTATTACAGTGAATATGGTATATATGTATACAATATCAGCTAGGTCTTTCTGCACTTATTACAGTGAATATGGTATATATGTATACAATATCAGCTAGGTCTTTCTGCACTTATTACGGTGAATACGGTATATATGTATATAATATCAGGTCTTTCTGCACTTATTACAGTGAATATGGTATATATGTATACAATATCAGCTAGGTCTTTCTGCACTTATTACAGTGAATATGGTATATATGTATACAATATCAGCTAGGTCTTTCTGCACTTATTACAGTGAATATGGTATATATGTATACAATATCAGTTAGGTCTTTCTGCACTTATTACAGTGAATATGGTATATATGTATACATTATCAGTTGGGTCTTTCTGCACTTACTACGGGGAATACGGTATATATGTATACAATATCAGCTAGGTCTTTCTGCTCTTATTACGGTGAATACAGTATGTATACAATATCAGGTCTTTCTGCACTTATTACGGTGAATACGGTATATATGTATATAATATCAGGTCTCTCTGCACTTATTACGGTGAATACGGTATATATGTATACAATATCAGCTAGGTCTTTCTGCACTTATTACAGTGAATATGGTATATATGTATACAATATCAGCTAGGTCTTTCTGCACTTATTACAGTGAATATGGTATATATGTATACAATATCAGTTAGGTCTTTCTACACTTATTACAGTGAATATGGTATATATGTATACATTATCAGTTGGGTCTTTCTGCACTTATTACGGTGAATACGGTATATATGTATATAATATCAGGTCTTTCTGCACTTATTACAGTGAATATGGTATATATGTATACAATATCAGCTAGGTCTTTCTGCACTTATTACGGTGAATACGGTATATATGTATACAATATCAGCTAGGTCTTTCTGCACTTATTACGGTGAATACGGTATATATGTATATAATATCAGGTCTTTCTGCACTTATTACAGTGAATATGGTATATATGTATACAATATCAGCTAGGTCTTTCTGCACTTATTACAGTGAATATGGTATATATGTATACAATATCAGTTAGGTCTTTCTGCACTTATTACAGTGAATATGGTATATATGTATACATTATCAGTTGGGTCTTTCTGCACTTACTACGGGGAATACGGTATATATGTATACAATATCAGCTAGGTCTTTCTGCACTTATTACGGTGAATACGGTATATATGTATACAATATCAGGTATATCTGCACTTATTACGGTGAATACGGTATATATGTATATAATATCAGGTATATCTGCACTTATTACGGTGAATACGGTATATATGTATATAATATCAGGTATATCTGCACTTATTACGGTGAATACGGTATATATGTATATAATATCAGGTCTCTCTGCACTTATTACGGTGAATACGGTATATATGTATACAATATCAGGTCTTTCTGCACTTATTACGGTGAATACAGTATATATGTATACAATATCAGGTCTTTCTACACTTATTACGGTGAATACGGTATATATGTATACAATATCAGGTCTTTCTGCACTTATTACAGTGAATACGGTATATATGTATACAATATCAGGTCTTTCTGCACTTATTACGGTGAATACGGTATATATGTATACAATATCAGGTCTTTCTGCACTTATTACAGTGAATACAGTATATATGTATACAATATCAGGTCTTTCTGCACTTATTACGGTGAATACAGTATATATGTATACAATATCAGGTCTTTCTGCACTTATTACGGTGAATACAGTATATATGTATACAATATCAGGTCTTTCTGCACTTATTACGGTGAATACAGTATATATGTATACAATATCAGGTCTTTCTGCACTTATTACGGTGAATACAGTATGTATACAATATCAGGTCTTTCTGCACTTATTACGGTGAATACAGTATGTATACAATATCAGGTCTTTCTGCACTTATTACGGTGAATACAGTATGTATACAATATCAGGTCTTTCTGCACTTATTACGGTGAATACAGTATGTGTACAATATCAGCTAGGTCTTTCTGCACTTATTACGGTGAATACAGTATGTATACAATATCAGGTGTTTCTGCACTTATTACGATGAATACAGTATGTATACAATATCAGGTCTTTCTGCACTTATTACGGTGAATACGGTATATATGTATACAATATCAGGTCTTTCTGCACTTATTACAGTGAATACGGTATATATGTATACAATATCAGGTCTTTCTGCACTTATTACGGTGAATACAGTATGTATACAATATCAGGTCTTTCTGCACTTATTACAGTGAATACAGTATGTATACAATATCAGGTCTTTCTGCACTTATTACAGTGAATACGGTATATATGTATACAATATCAGGTCTTTCTGCACTTATTACAGTGAATACAGTATGTATACAATATCAGGTCTTTCTGCACTTATTACAGTGAATACGGTATATATGTATACAATATCAGGTGTTTCTGCATGGTCTCAGTGCATGCCCCTTTCTGTGAGTTGTCCCTTCACTTGTGCACCTGGCTTGTTCAGCACCAGTTCTCATTCATCGACACACTGCCTCCGCATCAGCTTGTATCGCTCCAGCGTATATTGCTGTCAATTCCAGGTAATCCTATTACTGTAGATTACTGTCCAGTATATGCACATCCATCACGGCTAGTCCAGGATGGGCTGTGGTCATTTGCCAAAGTATATCAGAAATACTGATTCTGATTATGTCTTGGGCGGGTCTCTTTGCAAGCCATACAAATGTACTTCAGTGTACAAGCTAGAGCTCTGTTAAAAGGTTAGTGGAAGATCTGTTATTGTAATTGTTTTTGATCATGTCTAAATTGTTCTTTGATGTTGGTAAGTTTTACATTGTTACACAGACTTTCTCATGAATTCATTCTGCTAAATTTTAAAGACAGTTAAAAACAAAGAAAACCGTACAACTTTATCTAAAACAACTTCTAGTTTATTGCATATAGCAATTATATATATATATATATATTTATATATATATATAGAGAGAGAGAGAGAGAGAGAGAGAGAGAGAGATAAAATGCAAAAGTCTAAAGATGAGCTGTATATATATATATGTATATATATAAATATAATTCATATATATATATATGTATATATATAGCTGTATATATGTGAAAAAAGGTCCACATAATTAAATACAATGGGGTATTTTAACATTGTTCTTTGTCAGAAAATTCCTAGATTGAACCCAGTATATATATATATCAATGGTGTAAGAATATGCATTGAAACGTTATATACAATAAACCAGACACCATAATTAAGTTGAAATGATATATTATGATATTAATTATGGTGTAAGAATCTGCACTGAAACGCTATATACAATAAACCAGAAGTTGTTATCCATAAAGTTGTATGTATTTTCTTACCTATTGGACAATTTCAAACAGTTATCTAAAAACTACTTACTCTTGTAAATCTTGTGACTTTTAATATTTGAAGGCTTTGATTGTCTGCCAGTCTTTCATACTTTGATTTTACTACAAATCTAGTCTAGTTGGCCTGACTACAAACTCTGAGGATTAATGTTTTGCTCTAGTCCTCTAAACTAGGCTTAAAAACACCTTAGGCAGTAGGTCAGAGGGCATCTTCTATGACCAGTCAGTGTCCCAGCTAGATACTCCCCATCTTTGTGGATGAGTGAGTTGGGTGTTATGCTGTTTTCAGTGTGTAGTGTGGACACACCTAGATTATAAAACCTGGGGACTCAGGATCTCAGTCTCTTCCTGACCGCCTCCGTGGTCTTGTGGTAGAGCGTCCGCCCGGAGAGCGGAAGGTCCAGGGTTCGATCCCGGGCCGCGTCATACAAAAAGACGTTAAAACATTGTACTTGTTGTTACCCTGTCTGGCGCTCAGCATTAAGGGGCTAAAACAAGGACTGGTCGGCTCGGAGTCAGTATGCTGTGTCTGAGTGGGGTATTCATGTTAAACTGCGGCATGGTATCTCAGTGAGCTAGCACTATAAATCGGCATCAGTCCGGACTAGTACAAGCAGCCACACACACACATACACGTGCATGCACGTCGCTATATAAGTGCAATAATCTTGGACGCGACGTTAAACCCAATTTCACCTCACCTCACCTCAGTCTCTTCCTCACTTGTGTCTTGACTCATTGTATTTAATATGAGACTGATGTGTGATGTAGGTATATTTCCATGTTTCAATTTTGAAATATTTGATAAAAATATTATCACGTCATTACTGCATCTGGGTGATCAGGTGCAAGATATGGACTTGGGTATGTGATAATCTCTATATATACCAGCAATATCAGTACTTGATGATGTTTTGGTTTGGTTTGGTTTGTTGTTCAACGCCGCACTCAGCAATATTCCAGCTATATGACGGCAGTCTGTAAATAATCGAGTCTGGACCAGACAATCCAGTGATTAATATCATGAGCATCGATCCATGCAATTGGGATCGATGACATGCATCAACCAAGTCAGTGAGCCTGACCACCCTATCCCGTTAGTCGCCTTTTACGACAAGCATTGTCACCTTTTACGGCAAGCATGGGATGCTGAAGACCTATTCTACCCCTGAATCATCACGGGTCCACTTGATGATGTACATGTGTGTGTGATAATCTTTATCAAAGTGCAGAGTTCGAAATTCAGCTCCAAGTGAAGGAGTCCTTGTCATCGCCCTGATGTTGAACGTTAGATATAATGTAGGTACAAACACCAAGGACCCCATGACCCCCTTAATTTGAAACACTGCTCTGGCAATGTCAGCACTGTGCCCAGTGTCGTGTGTCCCCTCCCTCCAGGTTCTTCAGGGCGGTCGGGTAGTCTAGTGGTTAATGTGTTTGTTCGTCACACCAAAGCCCGGGTTCGATTCCCCACGTGGGAACAATGTGTGAAGCCGATTTCTGGTGTCCCCCTTAGTATGGACTTAGTATGGTGTCTGCTTTTTTGCTTTTTTGCTTCTTTGCTTCTTTGCTTCTTTGCTTCTTACTTCTGTTATCCCACTTTGTTTCTTTTTCTCCCCTTGTTTTGTGTGGTGTTTGTGGTGGAAAATTATAAAGGCAATCTTTTTTGAGTAATTTGTTGATTTACTTCTTCACACCGACATGTTTCTGGATTTATTCATTTCTAAATTAAATCTTTGTCATCTTAGTTGATCTTAAATACGTTTATGGAACAGATATTTATCTGTCAAAATTTCTGCACAAAAAACTTTCAACTATTTAATCGTGAGATGTTACATACAAAATTGTTCCTGGATACCAAATAATGTTTGTTTGTTGTTCCAGTACACGCAGAGGTCCATACTAACAAGAAACTGGACAATAGTCGACGTTTATCCAAGGAAACCGGAGAGCCTGAATGTGTCCTTCAACCAGGTAAAAGGTCATCAGCACACAGATCACCTTCACCTTCGTCACTGCGACCTCCATCACCACCAGTGTCGCCACCGTACAACGGTCGCAATCGTGGGTCAGTGGTGAGCGAGTTGTCATCCACTGCGTCGACCTTAAGTTCTCTCTCGGCGTCGGCGTCACGGGAGTTTGAGGAATCGGACGCACAGGACGGAAGAGTGAAAGCTCCTTCACCTCAGAGAGTTCCATTCTCGGCAGCGAGAGCTCGGTTCGAAGGTCGTCCACCCACGAAGTACGACACCGTTCGTAGCTGTGACAGCTGTGAGGAGTCAGGAGAGACGATTCCGACACACAACATATCGTCCTGGCGATATTCTGAATTGTATGCTCGGGGAAGGAATGTTGTGATTGAAGAAAAGGAGCCCAGTGATAACATGGCGTCACCAAGGGAAGCCACTCAGAATGGTGGCTCCAAGAAGACTGTGATTCAGATCCGAGGCAGTACCATTCGTATTGATGATGGCACAGGTTCACGTGATATTAAGACACACTCGAGACAAAATGGCAATGTTACAGGCTCTGCGCCTGTGAAGTCCAGCCAGCCCAAGCTCATTATGACCATGACCCCATCTCCGGCTGACCTCTCTGCCAAGTCGACCGCGACCTCCACAGTTAATGGATCGGCTGCAAACGGACAGATGACAAATGGCTCCATATCTCCCAGAAACTCAGTAGGTCAGTCTGTTGTGAAAACCCAGTCGTCATCAAGTGTGTCCGAGAACAAGACTGTCACTACCAGTAACGGAGTAACAAATGGAAGTGCATCAGCATCCAGGACGACAGTGACCAATGGGAGCTCCATGGTTAAACACAGTGCCCCCCATCCTGGTCGTCCAGTTGGCTTCAGTCCGCTAGGAAGCATCATGATGTCCGCCCTGCCCCCTAAGGTGACCCCACATGCTTCAGATGTGCCGGCATCACAGCAGAACTCACCCCCTTCGCCACCACTACCTCCACCCCCACCACCAGTGGAGGACCGCACTCCGTCGCCTAGCAACACAAACATAAAGTAAGTCCACATGAATATATGCAAGGGATGGTTGATCATGAATATGGTACAGGGAGTGTTGATCATGAATATATGCAAGGGAATGTTGATCATGAATATGGTCTTGTCAGTGTTGATCATGAATATATGCAAGGGGGTGTTGATCATGAATATGGTCTTGTCAGTGTTGAGCATGAATATATGCAAGGGGGTGTTGATCATGAATGTGGACTTGTCAGTGTTGATCATGAATATATGCAAGGGATGTATTGGGAGTGTTGAGCATGAATGTGGACTTGTCAGTGTTGAGCATGAATATATGCAAGGGGGTGTTGATCATGAATATGGTCTTGTCAGTGTTGATCATGAATATATGCAAGGGATGGTTGATCATGAATATGGTACAGGGAGTGTTGAGCATGAATATATGCAAGGGAGTGTTGATCATGAATATGGTCTTGTCAGTGTTGAGCATGAATATATGCAAGGGATGTATTGGGAGTGTTGAGCATGAATGTGGACTAACTTGTGTTCAAGCTGTTCAGGAATATGATATGTGTTGAACACATATCTGGGCTAGAGGGTGATGATCATGAATTTGAGCTAATTGGTGTTGATTGTGAATATGGACTTGTCGATGTTGATCAGGAATATGAGTTATGGAGTGTTCATCACGAACATACGCTTGGGAGTGTTCATCATGACTATTGACTAGCTAGTATTCATGGAGAATAATATCTAGTCTCTGTTGATCACAGATCAGGGCTTGGGGGTGTTGATCATGAACGTGAACTAATTAGTGTTGATCATGGGCTGTATGACGGATTTGGGATGTTTGTCAGGAAAATGGCCAGTCAGTGTTCATCATGAATATGGGTTCATCTTACACTACAGATCAGTTGTATACAATTCATCGTTCAGGTTTATTGAGGTTCCATTTATTGAGTGGCTCAAGATTAGCTGTTTCTCAGTCATGAATTTGTATGTATGTGTGTCTTGGTGTAGTGGCAGCCGTGATTACCAAGTAAGCCACTTCAAAGCCGACCTTGTCAGTGACACAGTCATCTGTTTCAGACCATCCAGTTTGTCCGGGGGCGCCTTCCAGAACCAGAACGGCTTCGTGAAGTCTGCACCACCGCGCTTCGACCTGATAGCAGAGCTGCAGTCAGGACCGGGGAAATCAGGATTGAAGACGTCCAAGGGTCCTAACCGGGGCGCCACCATGGTGTTCTCCTTCGGCAACGGGAACATGGCTGCAGCCCAGCCTCAACCTTCCCAACCCAAACAGGTGAGGCATGGAAATTTGGAAATCACACAAAACGCAAAACCCGGTAACAGTATCCAAAGAAAATGTTCTTTTGGGTTATTTAACGAAAAATAACAATCTCTTAACCTTATCATTATTTTGTTAAAACATCATCTTCAACTTTAGAAATAACTGTCTAACCTTCAATTTATACAGAAGGAGCTCACTGAATTTTATAAGTTAACAAAGGATACTTCCGTCATTTATTGTAATAAACATTACTTTTATAAGCTTTAGGCAGTCATGCTATATTTTTTTGAATATTTTGTAATGCAAAACTGTGTAAATGCTCCAGAAAATTAAACAAATTATTAAAAAAAAACGATGAAGCGGTGTAGTTAGCTCCGACCCACAACAAGCAACCTAACTTAATAGGACAGATTGTAGGGCTTGTTGACTGCGTGTCATCATACCCTGATGGCATGGATCGTTAGTCATAATATCAATCACTGGATTGTTTGAAATGTCTCTCTCAAAACAGTGATACAAGTGATAATAAGTTCACATTCTCCGAAAGATTCTCAGTGGGTTTGACTAGGCAGTGCTTCCTGGGAGAAGTCCCATTCACTGTCTGGTCTGCGTGTAGACGGGGCAAGGGCCCTGAGCTGATGATGAGCCTAATCAGCCTGACTGTGCCAGGATCAGCCAAACCCTCTTTGCTGCATGCTCATCATCATCATCATCATCATCATCATCACCATCACCATCATCATCATCATCATCATCATCATCATCTTAATAATAATAGGCAATTTATATTGCTCATATTTCCACACCACACAGGGGCATGCTCAAAACACTATTGTTACACACAACAATCATTCTCAGCTCCCTGGGGAGTATGCAACCCAAGCTGCCTGTTAGGCGCTAGAAGGTTAACAACCACATTGCCATCTCATCCTACTTGGTACCCATTCACTTCTGGGTGAACAGAGGCACATTTTAAACAGTCACTTGCCAAAGAAGACACCACATGTGTTACATGTGCTTCAGTGTTGGGCAGGACCGAAGCCCTAGAAACTCTCTGAAGCCAAGTAGGCGAAACGCACGCGATCACCCAATCAAGGACTCTCCGCGACCAACGTTGCTTAACTTCACCTGATTTTTACCTGTGCGCTGTGCATAGGACCACGTGCCACCATGAGCTTTACAGTCATTAAGCTGGCACACGATAAAGTGACTGAAATAGGGTAAACCGTCTTAGTCCAATTCACGTATGAATGAACGAACAAACTCATGAAGCTCATGACATGTGTTACAAGATGTTGACCTGTGGATTCTTCCCTCCCTCCAGGCCCCGGCCGGCAGGTTAGATGGGGAGTTTGACCCCAAGAACTTCCTTGACCAGGTGCCGGAGAGGGATTCCTCCGGTCAGCCAATCCCCCAGTGGAAGAAGCAGATGCTGGCCAAGGGCATCGCAGAGAAGACTCAGAAGGAAGCTGAAGCAAGGCGGAAGGTGAGTACCACTGAGTACCACTGAGTACCACTGAGTACCACTGAGAACCTCTGAGTACCACTGAGTACCACTGAGTACCACTGAGTACCTCTGAGTACCACTGAGTACCACTGAGTACCTCTGAGTACCTCTGAGTACCTCTGAGTACCACTGAGTACCTCTGAGTACCTCTGAGTACCTCTGAGTACCACTGAGTACCTCTGAGTACCACTGAGTACCACTGAGTACCACTGAGTACCTCTGAGTACCACTGAGTACCTCTGAGTACCTCTGAGTACTAGGGCTGCAACGAATAACCTATGAGGCGAATAGGATTCATATCACAAATATAGGGTAATGAATACGAATATTAATTCACGAATACAAAAATAACTCAGCAGTTGATGTATTATTTGTTATATTCAGTGAAACATTAACAACATTAATTATTTGACATGGTTTGTTAATTATCTATATTATATATTTATAAACTGCACTTGTCCAGGTACTTAGTCTTAGTATCTGTTCAAATGCTACAATGACCAGTGACCAAATTCCTGTCAAATTAAATATTATAAGTGTTGTTTTTGAAGAAATCTGTGCATATCATATGTTCTTATGGATGTTTTAGGTACAGGGTATGTAAATGCACATGATTCCATATTCATAAATATTCGATTTTAGTGCCCACGAATAACGAATTCAATTCATGAATGGATACAGTTCGATTCACCGAATACGCAAGTGAATCGTAATGGCCCGACTGAGTACCTCCTTTCAAACCACAGGAGTTTCTTCAAATTAAGGGAACAGTTTCCATACTATTAGGAGAGGCGTAGTGCAAAGTTTGTTTTCGATAAGTGGATTTTCTGAGAAATTATTGCTTTTTTCATGTTTTGAACTTTGAGTGAGTGAGTATGGTTTTACTCCGCTTTTAGCAATATTCCAGCAATATCACGGCAGGGGACACCTGAAATGGGCTTCACACATTGTACCCATGTCAGGAATCGAACCCGGGTCTTCGGCGTGACGAGCGAATGTTTGAACTATGTTGGAGTCAAATTTTGGGGTAGTAGTGAGCCCTGCTCACTTTTTGTCTTGTTTTAGTAGCTTTTGAAAAGCACGCTTGATGATAAGTTATTGTGTTGAAGTGTCGTGATATGTAGCTCTACGTAATACTAACTTACCTCTGATCTTATATCAATACATCACAAACTGTAAACAAGAAAAACAGACTAATGAGATGCTAATTGATGAATACTGTAATTACTGGTAGGCCAGGTTATCAGCGCTTGTGACTCACTGATCATGAAGATTTGGGCAAAGGGAGACAGCCAATGTTACTACAAGAGCCTGTTCCCCCAACGACCGCCTCCGTGGTCTAGTGGTAGAGCGTCCGCCCGGAGGGCGGAACGTCCGGGGTTCGATCCCCAGCCACGTCATACCAAAAGACGTTAAAAGATGGTACTTGTTACCCTGTCTGGCGCTCGTCATTAAGGGGCTAAAACAAGGACTGGTCGGCTCGGAGTCAGTATACTGTGTCTGAGTGGGGTATTCATGTTAAACTGCGGCATGGTATCTCAGTGAGCTAGCACTGCAAATCGGCATCAGTCCGGACTAGTACAAGCAGCCACACAAACACACACACGTACATGCCCGTCGCTATATAAGTGCAATAATCTTGGACGCCTCACCTCACCTCACCTATTCCCCCAACACTACAGTTGTATAATTTGGTGTAATATTTATTGAAGGTCTCATTTCTGCAGAATCGTAAGCCCATGCTGATTCCTTTCCTAAAAGTTACCATTTTGTTCAGGTTGAAGCGGAGGAAGCGAGATTCCGGAATGTGCCGGCCTGGAAGCGAGCTCTCATAGAGAAGAAGGAGACAACTAGCAAGTGAGTACACAGGTCATTCGTCACCACTCGCCTCTTTCAGTAACCTGCATGAAGACTCGTTCCCCATTCGTCACCACTCGCCCCTTTCCGTAACCTGCAAGAAGACTCGTCCCCCTATCGATGAATGTTATGTGCGAAAATGCGACAAACCAATCAGAATGCGCGTATGATTTCAAGTTCTTTGTCAAAGAATCCCTCAGAAATAATTTTTGATTTTACATATGTCTTGCATCTAAAAATATACCCAAGATACAGTTAAATGTGTTCAATCATACTGTATAATTCCGATGTGCTTTAAATTGCATCTGAAATATATGTAATATATGGGGAAATATATGTGAACCATTTCGCAACGAATTTAAAATTGTTTTAGGTATGCCCGTTTGCGCTAAGACGGAACCCGGTCACAAATATGGCCATGAGAGGGGCACGAGTCGCTATTTGGCTTGTCCCGGAATAACACGAGTTGTTCACGAATGTACACAGGTTGAACAGACAAAGGGAAACCACTCTGTCAATGTTCGAAACAAGCACCTGCTGTTGGCCCATGGCGGGTAGATTTCGTGTCGGGCCCATAGTTTCAAATTTGTGTGAGTCTTATGGCCTGCAGTAAATTAAAGTGTCAACTCCATTTATTTGTCACAATAAGCTGCATGTTTTTAAATGAGGGCCTGAAGAGTTTTGTCAGGGCCGACAGCTTCTAAAGTCTCTAGGTCCTGATTTGTTTTGTTTTGTTTCAAACACTGAACTCTGTTAGATCTAAACACTTCTAAACGATGTTGTCTTTAATAGGCTTAAGTACCAATCCTTGATTATCCAGAATATGATATCTCCATTCTGTTAGGAAAATAGCCTGAGTTCATTTGCCCCCATGGCTTTCAGAAACGACCTGACCATCTCTGTATCGTTTATGACTAACTTCGCAAAGAATTTCCCTCATTCATTAGCTTTGCTTCAACAACCAATCAAAATGCCTCTTCTGAACGCGAGTCTGCATGAATCGGCTTTCAAAATTGTAGCCTCGCCAAGTGAGCTCTTGTCACAATAAACTGAATCTTTAGACCTGAACTGAAGACATTTAATGAACTTACAGCTTTAAAAGACAGGAGGTACTTATGTTACAAGACATTGCAGTTGTATGTGAGATGAAACACGACAAGGCGAGTACCAGTGATATTAGGGTTTTTTTAAAACAAAAGAGAACAGTGTAATTTAATTAGACGCTATTTTTGACATCGTGTCATATGAATTGCACTCAAAATAAAGTTGCAAATAGACTGAGGGTATATGAATCATAAAAAAATGGAGATATCACACACTGAATAATTGAGGGTGTTTTGGTACTTTGTTCTGGAATCTGTTTAATACAAGAGCGGTACCACAGATATGCCCTGTCTGAAGACAGATGCAAGTAGATGACCATATTAGGTCACATTCCAGTCAATAGGTCAGTGAACTTCAGGATAGGCCAGGCGTTTTATATTTTTGGGATTTTTTTAGAAAATGTAAAACAAAAAAATCAGATTTCCATATTTTTTTCCCGCCGATAGCCGCGTAGTCAGTTTTTTTATTTGTTATCATCACCTTTTAGTAAAAAACATGTATTTTCCATTGTAAACTAGTAAAGAGATACATAATTGATCTCGAAGCCGAACATGAATAGCCTCCCTTGACAATTGTCCGTGTCCAGAATTAAAAACAAATGCATCTGCCCATGCCCCCGGCCGCCCCCTCCTCCTGGCCGCCCCCTCCTCCAACCCTGCATGGACTTTGGGCTGAAAATTCTGTAATCCTAAATATAAAAAAAGCCTGGCCTTAACAGGTTAAACTATTTTAACAGACAGACAGACAGACAGACAGACAGACAGACAGACATGTGTATGCTGAGGACAACACTATGATGAAGGGCTTGTCCACTGCTGTGTATGTCATGTGTCAGATATCATAGCGTATCCTGACTCTATTGTAGAAACTGATGCCCAAGCGGTGAGTCTTTTATGTCTGCTTCACTGCCAATGCTTGTAATGTACATGTACCTATGCTGTATTTTGCCTCAACTAACCAATAAATATTGTTTATTCATCTTGTAAAATGCAGCTAACTAATACACATATATAAAAATTTAGAATCACTGCCTTTGCGTATAATGCAACCTAACCGTATTGTCCCTACATGTAGAGAATGTTATATAATCATACTCAACGAATCACTCTTAAAATCTGACTCTGAGCGCAGAAATCCTGACATGCTCAATAAGTGTTTTGTAGCGAGTCAGTGAATATTTTATGCCATACTCAGCAATATTGCAGAAATATCACATCATCCTATAGATGGTCACCCAGGCCGGAAACCAGTGATTGATAGCGTGAGCATGATGATGACAGTGAGGAGTGAATGTTGCTCTTCAGGTAAAAAAGGCAAAGAAGTTAAGGGTGAAAATATACAAACTGGACATATTATATGCTTTCATAAATGAACTAACCCGTGAAGTTTAATACAATGTGTGAAGCCCATTTCTGGTGTCCCCCGCCGTGATATTGCTGGAATATTGCTAAAAGCAGCGTAAAACCATACTCACTCTCAACAGGTTTCAGTACGTCCCTAGCAGCCCATGCTGGTTGTGTGAGGTAATTAAATGGATCAGATACTCGGAGACTTTGTTGTTGATCATTGTGTCCTGAAATCGTTGATTATAATATCAATCACTGGTTTGTCTGGTCCAGGTGTTAAACAACAAACACAAAACAATTATAAAATCAATGTTGTATATCAGTTGATTTAACAAGGTTGATATATTGTATGCGGCTGTTTATCCATTCATGCTGTTTATCCGTCTGCGCTTGTTTATCCGTCTGCGCCTGTTTATCCGTCTGCGATTGTTTATCAGTCTGCGCCTGTTTATCCGTCTGCGCTTGTTTATCCGTCTGCGCCTGTTTATCCGTCTGCGATTGTTTATCAGTCTGCGCCTGTTTATCCGTCTGCGCCTGTTTGTCTGTCTGCATGACCTCCCAGGCAGAGGGTGATATGGAAGTTATATCTGCTGCTGCAACATCATGTGTATAATGTGCTTTGGATGGGAATATATGAAGAAAGTGTTTTCTGTGAAGTGTGGTATTTACATAAAAACCTCTGCTTCATCAACACTACAGTGACTGTCTGTGTTATGCAAGCTGTCAGGGGATGACATAGTCGTGTACAGCACCGCACGTGGATGTGCCAGGTTGAATGCCAGACATCATCTGCCCGAGGCATGAGAGTTAACTGACTATAAAAGTCCAGTTTCCACCTTTGCCGAACTATGCTGGAATTCCTGGGCTCGATCGTAGCGCTACAAGTGGCTATTACAAGTTATGTCCCTTCTATGCCTCTCCTATGGACCAATCAGATTCCACCTCTCGTATCACTTGCATTTGTTTCAAACAAAACGGCGGTGCCCAGTCAAGACGATCTGATGATAATCAACATCTCTTTATTGTGATAAAACGAGTCTTACATCGTGAAGTGCACCAAATCACGTGAGCACCTTGATTAAAAACATGAAATGATTTTTAAAATATCTGTTGACAACGAGTTAGCTTTGTACATGCTTTGCAAATCCTCCAATCGACCAAAATCGGCCAAAATCGGCATGACAGTTTATGAACCGGATTTCAATTTTGGGGCGCGATTTTGATTGGACTATGCATATACTCGTTAGTCCAGACAAAATGTAACTCCATTATACCAGCCTAGTTCGGCAAGGGTGGAAACTAGACTTTTAAAGTCAGTTAACTCTCTTGCCTCGGCAAGATGGCCAGACATCTAAGATCAGGAATAGAATCCCAGATTCGCCCTGATTATGATTCTAGGTTTGTCACGACCATATTTTGCTCATACGTTTCAGCTAAGTGGTAAATGTCACACATCAGCCTTTCCTCCCACCCCCCATCAAGCTGACACGCCATGATGTAACTGAAATACTGTTCAAAGCAACAATACTCACTCTCTCACTCACTTTCAGGAACCAATACTAACAATATCTGTAGCTTGAAGCTTTACAAGACTTTTCTCTTCTCCAATTTTATAAATGATTTTGTAGATATTTCAGTGTGACGAGAATATTTCAGTCTATAGCCTGTAGTGTGAAACTAAAATTTAGTCAGTTCTTTTTCTGTTTAGATCTGCTAACAACAAACTTTACACTATAATCTATTAAAAAAGTGCCACGGAACAAGTACTGGTTTGTGAACTATGAAGTTTGTGCACAATAAACTATGCCATGTAATATTACCCTCCCTAATTATCAATCTAGACCCTGTTCCACAAGGCTGTCGTAACTCCAACCCGTGAAGATCCGGGTTAGAATAGGTCTTCAGCAACCCATGCTTGAATCGGGTGGTCAGGCTCGCTGACTTGCTTGATGCATGTCATCGTATCCCAGTTGCATGGATCGATGCTCATGATGTCAATCACTGGATTGTCTGGTCCAAACTCAATTATTTACAGACCCCTATCATATAGCTAGAATATTGGTGAGTGCGAAAAGAAGAAGAAAAAGAGTATTTTAGGTCTAAGACAATCGTAATTCTATGATCACTTTGTTGAACAGGACCCTGATCTCTTCAGACATTTAACGACCCGTGAAGATTCCGGGGTAGAATAGGTCTTCAGCAACCCATATTTGCCATAAAAGGCGACTATGCTTGTCGTAAGAGGCGACTAACGGGATCGGGTGGTCAGGCTCGCTGACTTGTTTGATACATGTCATCGATCCCAATTGCGTGGATTGATGCTCATGATGTCAATCACTGGATTGTCTGGTCCAGACTCAATTATTTACAGACGGCCGTCATATAGCTGGAATGTTGCTGAGAGTTAAACAACAACAAAAACAAAAACAAAAAAAACACTCTAAATGGCATTGTGTGTTCAAAGACATTTGTGTTTATGAAGACATAATCAATCTTTCCAGGACTGGCAATTTGATGTCCTCGATGATCCTGTGTGATAGCTACATTTTATTATGATTAATACTCTGGACACATTTGCCACCAAAGTTTAGTTTCGGAAGTGGCGTCACAATCTCCATTTCATTTCACTAACTTAGCACATGATATATCTTTCTCAGTTTAATCTAATTTAAGTGTGTGTTTTTCGAACATGGTTAAAAACAAGGCTATGGTGGTGAAAGGGTCCAGGGTATTAATCTTTATGGAATGGAAATATACCCTGGATCACTGAGGATGACCGCGCAATGTTAAATCTGCTGTTGCCTTGGTGATCAAACTCTTGAGGAGCTGACAAAAAGATCATTTGACTCATTCAAATAACCGTTATGTGTTTTCAGAAATAATGAGGTGGTTCCGGCACCTGCCAAACCTGTGACTGTCAATAACACAACAAGTGTGGACGAAGATGGTCGACCTTTGACCTCCTGGCAGACACAGCTTCGGAAGAAGAAAGGCGTTGTCAATTAGTTAATTGTTGTTCAGCTGTTGGAATACAGGCTGATTCTGTAGTTTATGGTTGGTCAGATTGCTGTCTCGTCTGTCACAGCATGGGTACTTTGTTAGATCCTTCGGGCATACCACAGCCTCACACACCACTCAACACGACATACCACAGCCTCACACAGCACAACAGGACATACCACAGCCTCACACACCACTCAACAGGACATACCATAGCCTCACACACCACTCAACAGGACATACCACAGCCTCACACAGCACAACAGGACATACCACAGCCTCACACACCACTTAACACGACATACCACAGCCTCACACACCACTCAACACGACATACCACAGCCTCACACACCACTCAACAGGACATACCACAGCCTCACACAGCACAACACGACATACCACAGCCTCACACACCACTCAACAGGACATACCACAGCCTCACACAGCACAACAGGACATACCACAGCCTCACACAGCACAACAGGACATACCACAGCCTCACACACCACTTAACACGACATACCACAGCCTCACACACCACTCAACACGACATACCACAGCCTCACACAGCACAACAGGACATACCACAGCCTCACACAGCACAACAGGACATACCACAGCCTCACACAGCACAACAGGACATACCACAGCCTCACACAGCACAACAGGACATACCATAGCCTCACACACCACTCAACAAGACATATCAAAAAGGGTCACACACCACTCAACAAGACATATCAAAAAGGGTCACACACCACTCAACAGGACATACCACAGCCTCACACACAGCACAACACGACATACCATAGCCTCACACACCACTCAACAGGACAAACCATAGCCTCACACACCACTCAACAGGTCATACCATAGCCTCACACAGCACAACACTACATACCATAGCCTCACACAGCACAACACTACATACCATAGCCTCACACAGCACAACACTACATACCATTGCCTTATAAGAAGTAGCATACAGAAGCAAAGTAAGAAATACTAGAAGATATATTTCCCATAGGGATGATGTGTGACAAGACTTGATGAAGATGTGCTTAAACATCAAGCAAGTCTGCTGTTATGTTGCCAACTATTTTCAGTGATGGAAATGAAGACATTAGTTGATCATTGCCCAGACTACCAGACTACTTGAAGACAGTTCTTGCCGATGTTTGGTTTGTCAGGTTGATAAGCATGATAATGCTCCCAGAACCATCATGATAATGGTATAGGAACTGAAACTTTGACTATCTGTCCATATTTAATGGGTCTGTTATGATCTATATTTAGTTTATCTGCCAGACTTAGTACTTGTATGTATGTCTGATGAGAGGACGGTACTTTGTCTGGAGATTTAGTCCTGGGATGAAGATGCATATCAAAAAGAGACCGTGTTATTGTTGTCTGTTATCACATGTACATATCCCACGTATCCCAGGTCACATTTGTCCTATCCACTGCTCATGACAGGAAGCTGCTGCAATATGGATGTGGAGTTTTGGGTGAATATCTATACATGCATCGTCTATGCCTATTATTCAGAGGAGCTCTATCGGTGTAGAGTTCTGTAAGTGTATTATATACATACACATTCACAAGCACACCAACACCAACACACACACTCTATATTCCTTGACTTCAGCTGTAAATATGCAAATATACTGTCCATTGTGATTATTCAATATGTAATTGAGTTGTGATGTGAGATATATTTTCATTTGATTGTTTTGTTTAATATCAGAAATACGTATTAAAAATTTAACAGATGTTGCAGATGTTACAACGCTTTAATACTTGAAGGAATTAGCATAAGAATTGTACAGCATTTTGGAATACACTTTGCAAGTAATTCGTCATGAATGATGACACTAGTTGTACATATACTGTGATGTTCAGGATTATTCCTAAGCCTTTGATACTAAGGCCGTCTGCACAAAATAAGTGACATACTGGTTGGATCTAATGGCGCCAGAATTATAGGACCCAGTATAGATAGGGATAATGAACTATAACATTGTGACAAAACTCTGAAAATAAAAATGTATTGAAATGAGTATTTATTTTAACTTAAAAGGAGATGTGTCAGCCACATGTGAATAACAAATACTGGTATGACATCTCCAAGAGATAAGTCACATTCCTCATTGAGAGTATACATATCAAACGTTGAACAGTTTATCTTTCTCCTGCATTCCATTCCTGTTTTCTTGGGTTGTCTTTTTATTGTTTTTGTTCGATCATCTTTTAGCCGTGACTTGTTTATTGGATGTTGCTAGCCTTGATCCTTGTGCTCCCTGTGGTGGACAGTGTGTTGTGCTGACATCATTCCGTCACCTGCTGGATTATTGTGATCATTCCGTCAACGACATGAACTACATTCCAACGGCAACATCGCACTGTGTCACATTGTCTTAAACGATAGGTCCAGAGATGCCAACACTACGATGATGCAATTAGGAATATGTTGATAATTGGGTCTTTATTAGTCATTTACACAAATTAGTGGTCATTATGATGATGACTATCTTTTGCATTGCATTATCACCAGAAGTTTTTTACAGTGTTTCTTATCACAATTTAATTTAAAAAACGTGATTATGGATTATTTATTGGTTGTGCTGATGTTAATAACTAGTTGTTGACCATGCAGTCTTTGACTTAATTTGTGCTATGTTTCACTTAATGGTTCAAAATATCTTCTTGATTCTTCGTTAAGGCTTAAAAAAAATAAGTCTTGGTTCTCAGGCACCGCCCGCATCATCATAAAGTCTGTCGCATGTTTCGTTTTTATTTCCATTTCCAAAACAATATAAAATCCATAGCTTAAAAACAATGCTATCAAATATAGCACACAGTTACTTCCCTTTACATGCACACTGCTTTACTGCGCTTCACTTGTTGTGGTCATGGCGGCAATAGGAGTTTGTACGCTTGTTTATGTAGGGAGGCCCTTTCCCAGGTTGATGGTACGCAACTGTTATTTGGGTGCACACTAGTTTGGACAACAAACAAAACACCACCACTCGCTGCACTGTTGTTGCAAAAGTCATTACCATATTCAACGTAATAAGCGCCCACGGCGACATTTGCTAATATTTGGCTAGTGAACAATCCCAATTAGCACCCCTTCCGATTGATCAATGTACACAAGACATATTTATTCGTGTATAATACGCACTCTTTTGTTATATGCACCCTTAATTATGGGTAATTAAATTCTGGAAAAATATATCTGTCGTACATAAACACTTCAGGCTGTCAGCATAAACCACAAAATTTATCTTTCAACTCTGTTTTTTTTCACCAAAATATATTCTAATAAGAGCCACCTATTTCTAATTTCGAGAGCGCCCTGGGTGCTTATTACGTCGAATACGGTATTATTATATCAAGTTTTTGCTTGAGAACCAATTCTTTTATATTTTTAAGCCTAACATAATGTTTGGCATCTCTGTATATCAATTAAATCGAGTTGGAGTGAACCAGGTTTTCGTGTTCTATGTGCTCCTTGATATGCTGAGTTAGCCACATGGGTAAAGTGTTTGCTTGTCACACCAGGGCGCAGGTTTGATTCCCATGTTGGTGCAATGTAAGAAGCACCTTCCTGGTGTCACTGTGGGGATGGAGCTGGGCTATTGGTTCAACTGGTGTTAGTCTCCACCCACTTGTTAGATTTCCTTGCTATTCACCATTGCTTCACCTGTTTGTGTACATTGAACATGTATGACATATTTCCTTGAGGCACACAAGTTGTACATAGATATCAAGGCAGTATTTTATTGCTTGATAGACAAGTTTATGATATTGTGCTATATTGGAAACACTATGGAATACTTTTTCACTGAATTTGCAAAGTTGAAATTTATTTTACATTTCATAATCCCATAATACAGACTTGCTTGAAGATGTGACAGATCAGCTTATTAATACTGATGAAAGAGCATGTTTGTTAGAGAAGCTTGTATGAACTAAAAGTTGTGATTTTAATGAAGAGTTTGTGCAATATAGACGAACTGTTAGTGGGACTTAAAACTAAGCATGACACTGTTTATTGTCTTGAACAGAAAATCCATCAATACAAATACTATACACACCCCGGAACTTTCAGCCTTGGAATATATGTGATTGACGAATGTGAAGGAGTTATCTCCCTTCTACAAGACCAGGATCTGTTGATGTCCAAGTTATAACCATGTACTGTTGTTCCTGTGTTTATACAATAATGTCAATTTGAGTTATGAATCACTGGATCTTTTTCTGCTTTATATGAACGAGTTTGTGTTCATAAAACTAATTGAGACATTGTGTTTAGGATGAAGGTGGAGATAGCCATTGAGCTGCCATTTCAAAAATGAGCTTTGTGTAACAGAAAGAGGCCACTAACGCGTTTACAGTTAAATGTTTGTTTTGTGAAATATGTTTAATTATAATGTACTGCTGACATGCGCAGAAGGGAGTGTCATTGTGATGTCTTTAGGTCATGTGTTACTTTAGATCTTCAGCTTTTAGTAGGACTTGATGACTATCTCTAATTACACAAAGTTCATTTGTTTTCTAATTGTGTCATTTTACTTGTAATTTTGGCATTAAATTAGCTCTAACAATTCTTTAGCAGATCTAGTCAGAAAAACTTTGTTATATTCATCACTGTATTTCTTGTATCAAGATGTCACAGATCGAAGGTCTGTTCATGCGATGTCACGTGGATGCCATGTTTGTCATCCGTCACAATTTACAGTTTGATATCCGTTACTTCCCTTGGTTCACATCCTGCCGTTAAGTATCGTAGCACTTGTAATGGCAGTCTTTGATTGGTTGTGTTTTACCTTCTAAGGCAATACAGTATTCTTAATCATTTTACCTTTGATAAATCGCCAAAATAACTTTGATGTCATAATCCAATAACTCTATTGTGACAATATTAAAATATAGTTTTGTGTTTAGCATTGTTTTACTTTCATGATGGCATGATCCCACATTCCAGTAGCGGGAAATCACTTGGACTTCGTGTTCTCGTACGGCCCTGTTCTTCATTACAATGTACAAGGTATGAAGTGATGTAATAGATGTTGTAGTGCCAAGATTTAACCAGAATAACACGACTGACACATCTGCAATCTGTTTGAAAAACTTCCCTAGCCTACAGATTTGCCAGCTGCTGTAGAATATTAATGAGGAGTGATATAGGGGACCAGCCATTAAATATTCTGCGCCTCAAGACCTACAATTTCTCTCTTTGGAAGGAACAACATTTTTTTACCTACATTATTTTTCAGAATATCCAGCTTGTCTGGAAACATTTTTTTCTTTTTCAAACCAATGGACAAATTATTGTTTTCTAGGATTTCAGGAAATATTTTTGCCCCAAGGAATAAAAATTGGTTCGCCCCCTTGTAGACTTTAGGTTGGATGAAGAGACAGAGAGCTTGAAAACATTGCTTCCATTAGTAATGAATCTAAATGGCTTTGGGAAACAAGGTGTAAAATCATGTGTGGAATGGAAGATAGACATGTGAGTACCCATCTTGAAATAACACGTGACGGTCAGCTCTCTCTAATACTAAGGCACAGGGGTCGATATAACTGCTGGACCATTGGCCTGTTGCCAGTTAAAATAACAAAAGGCTTGCTGAAATGTAAAGTTGATGGCCTGTCTGGGTAGTCAAAATTTCACCCCTTCTCTGTATGTTAAATTGTTTTAATTGGATCATCATGGTAGAATCATAACTGGCTGCCATTTTGTAATGTGAACAACAACCTCTTTATTTGCTCATAAATCACCATGGAATGAAGCAGATGGAAGCCAAGTTTTAATCTCAGAGTGCATGAAAAACGTTTTCGGGGTGAAATATCTTCAGAGCCCTGCTGAGGTGACTTTGCAGCCACAGGTTCGGCCACTTTGCAGCCTCCACCATTTGGTTGTAAGGGGGCACGGGTGGCCCAGTCGTCTAAGGCGCCACGATTCGCTGTGCAGAGTTGCGTCCCTTGGGCACGACAGAAACCTATGATTGTGGATTCGAATCCCGGTTCGCCCCGATTATGTTTCTAGGTTTGTCAGCACCATACCCGTGCTCATCGAAGTGATTAACGTCTGAGACCTGCATCACTTCGGGCTTTCCTCCCACATTAAGCAGACACGCCGCGATATAACTGGAATACTGTTAAAAGCGGCGTTAAACCCAACTCACTCACTCACTCATTTGGTTGTAGACCAGTTTGGTGAAGGGCCAGTGATTTTTAAATTGAGCAAGCGCAGGTGAGGTGGCTATGCAGCCTCTGCTGGCTACATACAAATTTGTTGTCAGATCTACCCCTGGGCACAGCAAGGAGCTGATGTACCAAGTATTCTACACTGGTGGGTAATGGTTCCCAGCAAGGTGGCATGGTGACCGTGTAGCCAGGTTCATTGTCATAAAGTGGCAGCAGGTGATACAACATGGAGGTCAACTTCAGTATTTTTTCTCCACGAACTGTTGGATGTTCACTGTCTACATAGGGGCACAGGTGGCCCAGTCGTCTAAGGTGCCGCGATTCGATGTTCAGAGTTGCGTCCCTTGGGCACGCCAGAAACCTATATCGTGGGTTGGAATCCCGGTTCGCCCCGATTATGTTTCTAGGTTTGTCAGCACCATGCCCGTGCTCGTGGGTTTCACCGAAGTGGTAAACGTCTGAGACCTGCATCACTTTGGGCTTTCCTCCCACATTATGCTGACACGCCGCGATATAACTTGAATAATGTTAAAAGCGGCGATAAACCCAACTCACTCACTCGCTGTCTACATCAGTCACGCTGTCAGGGGGCATGGGTGGCCCAGTCTTCCAAACTGCCAGAAGAGTTAACTCCCTTAGGCCTGCCAGGAACCAGTGATTGGTTCGAATCCATGTTCTCCCTGACATTTTAGGTTTGTCAGCACCACACTGTGATCTTGGATCCACCAAAGTGGTAAACATCTAAGACCTGTATCACTTCAGGCTTTCCTCCCACATGAAGCTGAAACATCTATAGTTAACTGAAAAACAGTTCACAGCAGCTTTAAGACAAACTCAAACAAGAATTGAATGCCAGGGAAGAATATCTTGTAAGCTGTAGGTAGTACTACATGTATATTGGTGAAAGTAAGTTACTTCATTAATGAGGATATTGAACAGCCACCATATTTTTAGAATAGAAAAGTTTTCACCAGCTGGCTTTCATCTACAATGCAGGAAAGTTTAAATAGGGAGTGTGCGAACCTGTTGTTAGTTGGGTTCAGTGTTGGTCCTGATGTTGATGTACATACAAGATGCTGTGGCTGCTGAAGTAGAGTTGCTTGTTACCTGTACAGTCCGCAAGCATAATTACCCTCACCTGTCAGTGCCACCTGTTCATTGATTAGGATTGTATTAATTGGGCTCTAAAAGATGAGAAGCAAAAAACAAATTTTCTTATTTCCATTTCCTTATTTCAAAAATGGGGGCGGTCGGGTAGCTTAGTGGTTAAAGCGTTCACTTGTCACCCTGAACATCCGGGTTCGATTCCCGACATGGGTACAGTGTGTGAAGCCCATTTCTGGTGTCCCCCGCCGTGATATTG